TTGAGAAGGTATTATTGATTCAGTGAAATTTCTGTTGGGTCGAATTTGGTAAATTTTATGCAAAATAAAATTTTGAAAAAAATTATTTGGAGCATTTTACCCTCTAATGCCGAGTTTCTTTCTCTAACCATAATTCTGCTTCTTTTCTTTCACCCTTAACCTCCAGAAGGAGTTTCGTCCTGGGTATGACGTTAAACTGCATCCAACAGCAAGGCCTCTGATCAGGAGGTTTTGAGGAGCGTGGGACCACCTCTTAATTGCTGGTGTTCCCAGGTCCACCCTGACCCGGGGTGGTAGCACCTGTCAGGGTCCCAGCTATGGGCAAATAGTGAACTCCTAGTCTAGCCCACATCCTAGGTATGACGGTAAACTGCATCCGCATCCATGGGTATGACGGTAAACTGCATCCGCATCATGGGGGTATGACAATAAACTGCATCCGCATCCATGGGTATGACGGTAAACTGCATCCGCATCCATGGGTATGACGTTAAACTGCATCCGTGTCCATGGGTATGACGGTAAACTGCATCCGCATCCATGGGTATGACGGTAAACTGCATCCCCATCCATGGGTATGACGGTAAACTGCATCCGCATCCATGGGTATGACGGTAAACTGCATCCGCATCCATGGGTATGACGGTAAACTGCATCCGCATCCATGGGTATGACGGTAAACTGCATCCGCATCCATGGGTATGACGGTAAACTGCATCCGCATCCTGGTTATGACAATAAACTGCATCCACATCCTGGTTATGGCAATAAACTACATCCACATATTGGGTATAGTGATTAACTACATCCAACAGAAAGGCCGTTTTTGAAAAAATAAGGTTGTCGGCTATATATTTTTGGGAAAATAGTATTACATAAATTTTTGAAAAATAATGTTGCCAGCTGTACGTTTTTGAGAAAAGGATATTACCAGCTATACGTTTTTGAGAAAAAAAATATTAACAGAAATGGATTTTTGACAAAAAAATATTACCAGGAAAAAAAAAAGTTGTCGGCATTAAATGACCCATTGAGGTTGATATGCTGTAAAACAAACCAACCAAACCAGAAGGAGTTGTTGGGATGTTGATGTGCTGATCTGCCAACCATTCTCCTCTATTTCTCATAGTTGTGTGCCAGAGCCTGAATCTCCACAAATAGTTTCTTGGTGTGCTCATTATGTGGCATGTCTTGAGCATTTTAAGCTTGTGGAGCCCATCCCTCTCAAAGCCAGTGTCCTACAGTTAGGTGGCTTGAATATATGACCATTGTAGTTCATCTGAGGAACCCTTCCACCTTGGCCAGTGACCTGTGTCAAGGAGGTCATTCACCCAGTAGTGCTGTGTTAGCACCACCCCGTCATGTGAGTTTGGCCTGCCAGCTGAACAACTTGAAGCCATCATGTAAAAGAATTAGATGCTTCAGGACCAGTGATGCCTGTCAACCTGAAGGTGCAGCATTTCAGACATCAAATGTAGTACCCCTATCCAGAGCTCCCTATGCCCACATATAAAGGGTGTGATGGATAAATTGTCCGAGAATTATGCAAAAATGAAAACACTGACATCTCATTTTAACAGATATATTTACCAGAATTACAAAAAATATCTTGAAATACTAAAGAGTAAATTTATTCAATAAAATCACCATTCCCTTCAATCATGGCCTCCAGACAACTTCAGAATCTCCTGCAACTCTTCTGGATGGTCTCCTTGTTTAAATTGGTGAATGCTGCCATAATCCTTGCCTTCAGTTCATCTTTGGTATTACAAAAAGTTTTGTTGGGCTTTCGCTCAACTGCACCTCACACATAATAATCAAGGGGAGTTAGGTAAGAAGTAATGTGGTCGCAGAAATTGTCTGACAGCCATGGTTGTATGGCATGGTGCAGTCCTGTTGCCAGACATAGTCTTCCAGCAGCCACCCTCTTGACTCGGGACAGCACTACTTCTTCAAGATGTAGGCCTCTGTGTTGAGTCCCTCACCAACAAATTTGGGAGTTCTTTTCTTATCAGAAGGAACAGAGTGAGTTCTCCAAGCTACCATACCTACATAATCAACATTATTCATCCAACTCTTTTTCAAATCTTTTGCATTGTTAGATTGACACTCAAACACTCTGAAATGTTTGTATTTGGAGCTTCTAAGCACAAATGCCAAGCAGTACAGCATTCTGTTTCCTAATTTCTGGTGGTGCGAATTGCGTCAGGGTGCTCTTTTTCTCACATATGGTGTCCAACAGGCCCTACTATACTGTGTAGTTGACAAAAACCAAAACAAATAATATGCATGTGTGAAATTAAAATGTAAAATGGGGACAACTTACTCATCGCACCTTGTATATTTAAACTGTAACTTTATTTTTAAGTGATGGCTTGTCACCATCTAATGGCCAGCTTCTTTCTCTAACCATAATTCTGCTTCTCTGCAACTCCTAAATAGATGACTTCTGACTATATAGGCCAATGACTAAAAATTCCCTATCTTCCAGCTGAGTGCTATTTGATTCCAAATGTTTTCATTTGTTTATTTTATTTATATAATTCATATTTTCCCTACTTGACAACAGTGTGTCATTTGCTTTTAAACTCTTGATTTTTTTTTTTTTTTTTTACTGCTGTTTATCTTAAAGTGTTGTTGCTTAAAACCATAGTGTTACGAGGATGCATTTCTATAGAAAGGTTTCTACTGAGTCCTACTTGTTAATACAAAAAAGTTTTCATTCATGAAGTAGTTGTAAAATAGAGAAATTAGAAATAGAATGTTTGGAAGATTCTAGATCATTCTAGTATATTCGAGAAAAATCTAGAAATATGCTAATTAGGTGCTAGCCCTTATAAAAATAGGTTTTTCTGGGCCTCCTCCTATAGGGTCTCGCCAGTAACAGCCCTAGAGCTGGCTAAGAGTCCAGATGTCGTCTGCAAACATTAAAATGTGCCGATATTTGTGGGGTTGCCATCCCCCTCTGACCGTATTTCATTGGTTGTTCTCGTTATACCTGGCCTCGACATTCTGCCGCCTCGACTGGCAATGACCATATTAATGTCCCTGTAGATCAGGAGGGTGGTTCCCTTCATCTGAGTTGTGCTGTTTGCTTGTGCACTTTCGAGCGTACAGCTGGACTCTCTGACCATATGTACCAAATGTATCCTAATCAGTGGAACGAGTTAAAGAAACAGCGCAATGCCTAATATCACTCACACGCCTGCACCTATGTCCGATGGACCCCTGAAGACCTCAGTTGTATGGCTGCACTAGAGCGTGAGGCATTGTCCCTTAACGTGCACAACATAAACACGTATATCGGGTCCTGCATGGCGCGTAGCAGTGATCAAGTTAGCTGCAGGCGACGTAGGAAGGACTATAAAGACCTTCTGAAATTGCTTGAGAACTCTGCTCTCTGTCCTGGCCCTGACAGTGTTCAGTCCCAAGTGGTTCTTGGTGACTCTGGTGACCTGCCCCTGTGGGGATCCCACCGGCTTGTCCAGTGGCCCCTGTAGAGAGGACTAGCCGCATCTGGTCTGGCCCCGAGATTAAAGTTTTAACATCTGCACCACCTGGTACAACTGACGCTGACATGGCCCCTCTCCATCCTGGATGCAGCATCTCTACCATCCGCTCCAAGAGGCGTTGCCATCCTAAAGTCACCCCTCTGGTTGATGATATGGGTTCTGCGCCCCAGGATGCTCTGGATGAGGAGCCGGATATGACGGAGGCTCAGCTGCCCAATAACGTACAGCATGACAACGCTCTCAGCATTGTTGAGTATATCAACGTTCTCTTGCCTTTGATTTCCGATATGGCACTTTGGAACAAAGCCAAGCAGGCCCTTAGCGATCTCGATGGCTTCTCTTCACTGTATTATGAAGTTTTCCCCAGAAACAGGACTAGAAATAGACACTCGATACTACCCGTGAAGGCAGGAATATGCTGATGTCGCCATCAGCGCTTGGCCATCTATAATTTCCTGCAACGACTCCATGCGAGAAATCCAAGATCGGTTGCCAAGAGGGTCCTCAACAGCGATCTCTCTTATGAGGGTCTCATTGCCAAACGATCCTTCTCCGACGAGGATTTTCTATGGAAATGGAAACCAGTATTCGAATGTGACTGTTTTGCAGACCTGGCCGGAGACCATTTTGGCCCACCAATGAACGATCTGATTACCCCATGGAATTTCGACCCATTGCCATTGGGAACTACTTTGTGCGCGTGTTCCACCAAGTCCTGGCTAGTCGCCTTGAAGCATCCCTGACCAACCATCAAGACCAAGTCTGGTTCCAACGTCTTGACTGGATTGCTCCCAATGTCCTTAAATTACATGTGGCCATATTGGAGGCTCGATCTAAGAACGAAAATTTAGTGGTTGCCTCTGTAGAGATTCGTAAGGCATTCGACTCAATCTCGCACAAAGCTCTCCTTGGCATATTACGGTGGACGGGGGACCCCGACCTCCTTCTGAATTACTTTCACTCCTACTTCAGCTCCAGTAGATTGCAGATCAGGAGGGATCTGATACTGAGGAGGAGTACGCCTTTTCCATTGGTGCGCTAGAGTTGAATCAGTTGGCTTATGCCGATGACTTAATACTATTCGCCAGCTCCCCTGATGAGATGCAGAGGCGGATTGACCGACTTCTTGTTGGCCTTTGCAGACTCGGGCTTCAGCTCAATGCCCTTAAATGCCATGTGTTATGCATTCGTGGGAACAAGAAGAGGAAGTTCTGCTATGTGGACACTGCTGTGTCCATAATGGTGGACGGCGTTGCCCTCCCGGTTGTGACTGCTGAGTCGAAATTTAACTATCTCGGAGTACAGTTGAACTGGAGGGGTGTCGCTCGGACCCCGCTTGGTCTAGACCAGCTTTTGACCAGGCTCGATCGGGTTGCACTAAAACTGTAGCAAAAGCTTAACTTCCTGAAAAAGTTCTTGCTTCCGCGCTTTAATCCCCGTCTTGTTTTCGGCCATCATCATAGGACTGAGCTGGTAAAGGGGGATAAGATGATTCATTGGGCGGTTCGTAGGTGGCTTCGGCTGCCTACTGACTGTCTCAATTCCGTCATCCACTCACCAGCGAGATTCAGCGGTTCAGGGGTTTCTTCGCTTGAAATGCTCGTTTCCACACTGAAGGACAAATACCTAAGCCTGTTTACCGATGGGTATGCAGAGGATGAACCAATTGCATCCAATCTCTCAGTCCGCTACTTAATGATGCACAGATTCAGTAACTCTATCAACTGCACCCGTGAGGACCTGGTTGAGGACCTGCTTAGTAGGTATGATACCAGGGGCCTACAGGGGTATGATCATGTTCCAGCTGTTAACAGTTGGCTTGATTATGCCCCTGCCAACTTGGGTGGCTTTGAATTTCAGGATGCCATCTGTATGGGCACGCCAGCCTGGTTATCCCGGGGTGACCGTCGGGTTGATACGGTATGTAAATGTGGGCGCAATGCTCCCATGAGCCTGCCCCATGTTGCCCAAGCCTGCTGTCTCATTGATGGTATCCGAAGAAAATGGCACAGCAATGTTGTGCTTTTTGTGGCACAAGCCATGAAGAAGCTGAATCTTGATGTCATTATGGAGCTGCGTTTTGAAACTGAGCGAGGTCTGCGAAAGCCTGACATCATGATCTGCATCGAAAGGGGGTTGATTTTCCTGGACATGCAGGTGCATCCTGATTCTGTTGTCTGCAGTCTGGATACTTGCAACAAAGAAAAGATCAGAAAATATAACCAGCCTTGATTCTTCGATGCGGTGTGTGAATGTTATGGTTGTGATGTTCCCATCCGTGTCATTGCTCTGACGTACAACTAGCGAGGAGTGGTTGCCCAACAGTCCTATCAGGATTGTCATATATTAGGGTTGTTGCGGTGGAGGCATTTTGGGATGATTTCCAGAATTGTCCTCCGTGATACTGCTCGCATGCTCTGGGCTTACTGGTGTGCTCCGGCGGAGGGGTTAATTCGCCCTGTTGCTATGCCGAGGTTGCTCTGCGACTGCTCTGAGTAGTCTAGTTGAACCTAACTTCCCAAAAGAAAAAAAAAATATATTGATTTTCCTTTCCTTTCATTGCCGGCGTACTGTGGGGACTTCCGGTCTACAGGGGACTAACTCACCTAACCTTCTTTGGTTAAAGGGAAATTTCCCACCCCCGCCCAAAGATGACATCTAACGTGCCCGAGGATTATTATATCCAGCCGAAAGAATCTCTATGAAAAGTTGCCGACCAACAAAAACCCCATGGAACAAATCTGGTAAATAGAGTTTTGACTATTTTCATTGACCAAACTACCAATTATTTAATATATTCTCACATTTATGGATTTCCAGTTATTAGCATTTAAATTACTTCACTAGCCCTAAAGTGGTAATAAGACTTGACACCCTTTCCTTCTCCCTCATAACACTTCGCCCATAAATTCTGTGTTTTCTGTTTTTTGTAAGCCACAATTGTATATCTTGTATATATTTTATGTTGTATTTTAGAAAATTAAATATTTGTTTGTGATTTAGCTCTGTGTTTTGGTAAATCATTTTTTTTTATTTATTACAATTTCCAACACGTAACAAAATGGGAGCTCATCCAAGTCAATAATATCGTAAAAAAAACAAAAAAAAAAAAAAGAAAAATTCGAAATACATATTTCGCAAAAAAAATAAAAAAAAATAGCCAAAACAAACACATGCCTTTTTCTGTGGAAAATTTTAAAGTTTAGCTGATCTGGGTGAATCATTCAAAGTTTTACAAAAATCGGAGTTATTACAAATTGCAGACTACTTCAGGTTAAATACAAACCCATCAATGAAAAAAACAGAAATAAAAAGTATTGTATCTAAAGAACTAATGGATAAAAATCTCTTAGACTCATGTAATATTGACAAAAAAGACGACCAGAGTAATTTACATTTTCAATTAGAAATAAAGAAATTAGAGATGCAAGAAAGAAATAGAATTGGAAAGATTAAAAATTGAAGCTGAAATAGTTAGAAAAATTGAAATTACAACAAAAAAAATAGAAGTCAAAATTCCGATAATTCTTCCTTAAGTGCAGCATTTGATGCAGGAAGATATATCAAACTAGTATCTAAGTTTTATCAAAAAAAGTGGAAAAATATTTTCCTCATTTTGAAAAAATTGCAATAAATTTAGGATGGCCTTATGAAATCTGGTCAACACTCTTACAGACGGTTTTGGTCAGCAGAGCTGCTGATATATACTCGGCTCTTAGTATTGAAGAGGCCACAGATTATGAAAAAAAAAAAATGCTGGAGGCATATAGGCAAAAATTGAGGAAATATAAAAAATTCGAACGGCAGACATACGTTGAGTTTGCTAGAGAAAAAGATCTTTTTGATAGATAGGTTAGGGCAAAGAAAATAAATAATGATTATGATAAGTTACGCCAGCTCATTCTTATTGAAGAATTTAAACAATGTGTTTCACAGGAAACTATTAACGAGGCCGCGGTAATTGCAGATACATATAGTCTAACTCACAAGAAGAGTTTTTAAAAAATTTATATAACCGAAAACCAGTCAGGTTTTCATATAAATACACAAACACTGTCGGAATTTCACCCTCATAATGTATCTTGGAGAAGTTATATATACAAAAAAAATAAAAGATACACCTAAAAGTTCTCTTCCAACGGAATGAAAAATTTCCTGTGCCTACTGTAAGAAGGATAATCACATCACATCATATCTGATTGCCAAATCCTAAAAAGAAAACGGGAAGAAAATAACTCCCTTCAACCTCATGCCTTTGTTGTACAAAAAATTAAGAGCAACTCCTTTCTTCAGTCTTCCTTCTCAAAACTAGGTGTTAGAGAAAGAAATAAAAACTCATGTATGGAAAATTATAGACCATTTTTGTCCCAGGATTCTGTTTACATCAACGACCCTGAGAAAGCTAGGCCTGTCCAAATCTTGTGAGACACCAGAGCGTCTCAAACCTTACTATTAGAAGGCATACTACAACTATCGGACTCGACTTTCACTGGCGATTTTGTTTTATTACAAGGCATTGAATTGGGTGTCATTAAGGTGCCCCTTCACAAAATTTATATAAAATCGAAATTGGTGAATGGTCCCATCATAGTCGGTATATGACCAACCCTACCAGTTAAAGGGGTCTCCTTACTGTTAGGCAACGACTTAGCAGGTGACAGGGTAGTAGCAGAACCAGTTGTCTGTGATAAAATAGAAATAAACAATGAATTTTTGGTCGAAGAAAACAGTGACGCATGCCCTGATTGTGTTATTACTAGGGCTAAAGCAAAGAAGCAAATTTCAGAAAAGAAAGATTCAGCAACACCAGCTAATTTGTTACAATTGAATGAAACCTTTATATCTCATCATTTAGAACAAACCAATAATTCGAATAAAAAAATTAAATAAACCATCTCCCCAAAAAAGAAATGGCACAGAAAAAATGAAAGATGATCTAAATCAAAATCAACTTGTTATTGAACAAGAAAAAGATCCTGAAATTTGTCTTTTAAAAAATAAAATACTCCCTTTAGAAGAAGCAAGGAAAGTTAGAGAATGAGGTAATGGCAGCCAGTGGATGCCAGTCTAAATGAGGAGTGGAAGATAATAAACCAAATAGTGGTCCCAAAAATATACAGACAAGAAATACTAAACATATCTCATGATACTCCAATGCCAGGACATTTTATGTCTTGTTTATTTCAACAAGTAATGAATGAAATGGCTATTAAACAATATAAATCTAGTACTTGTCACCCTGAATCACAGGGGGCTCTTGAGTGTTTTCATCAAACAGTAAAGTCTATGATCGGAAAATATTGTTATCAATATAAAAAGGATTGGGGCGAAGGGGTGCATTTTGTTTTGTTTGCCACTATAGAAGCTGTTCAAGACACTCTTGAGTTTAGTCCTTTTCAATTGGTTTTTGAACATACAGTTAGGGGTCCTCTAAGACTTCTAAAAGAAAAATGATTGTTTGAAAAAAATGAGATGCATCTTTTGGACTATGTATCAAATTTTAAAGAGAAATTATACAATGCTTTCAAAATAGCACAAGAAAATTTAATAAACTCCCAAATTAAAATGAAGACTAGATACGATAAAAATAGTAAGAATCGTAAATTTGAAAGTAGTGACAAAGTTTTAGTATTTTTACCAATTCCTTATTGTCCTCTACAAGCAAGATATTTTGGTTCTTATGAGATAGAAAAGAAAATTAATAATGTAAATTATATCATCCACACCCCAGATCAAAGGAAAAAGAAAAGAATTTGCCACATAAATATGTTAAAAAATTACATCGACAGAAATTATGTAACTAATACTAAACCAGTCTCAACTTTAATAAAAATTAGTAATACAAATCAATTTGAAGATGATTTAGACAATAATGAAGATACAGTTATTAGGGAGAAGGACATGGGTCAGAGTAATCATTTAAAAAACTCGGAAATCCTGTCTAATTTAAATGTAAAATTCAAACATTTATCAAATGAGAAAAGAAAAGACATTCATGGTTTGGTCAATGATTTTCAAAATTTTTTTCCTGATGTTCCTAGAAAAACAACGGTTGCAGTACATGATGTTTTAGTTGGAGATGAAAAACCCATCAAACAACATTTTTATAGGGTAAATCCAGTAACCAAAAGTGACTCTTTTCCAATTCCTAGAATTGAGGACTGCATTGACAACATTGGCAAGGCGAAATATGTTAGCAAATTTGATTTAATGAAAGGTTATTAGCAAGTGCCATTAACTGACAATGCCAAAGAAAGTTCAGCATTCCGGATGGTTTATACCAATATAAGGTTATGGCGTTCAGGATGAAAAATGCACCGGCAACCTTTCAAAGGATGATGCATTCCCTTCTACACAAAATTCAGGGATGTGAGGTCTACATAGATGATGTAATCATGTACAGCATGACTTGGGACGAACATATACACATCATCAAACAATTTTTTCTTAAGCTGGAAGAAGCAAACCTATGCGTGAACCTAAACAAGAGCGAATTCTGTCATGCAAAAGTAAATTATTTGAGTCATACTGTTGGTCAGGTTAAGCCTATCACAACAAAAGTGGATGCTATCTTAAAGTATCCTATTCCAACTAATAAAAAACAACTAATGAGATTTCTCGGTATGGCGGGAGTCTACAGAAGATTTTGTAAAAATTTCTTATCAATAGCAAGTCCTCTAACCGACCTCCTTAAAAAGGAAGTAAAATACAAGTAGAGTGAAACCTGTAATAAGGCTTTCAACAGAATCAAGTCAACTCTCATTGGTGGCCCATCTCTTGCAACTCCAGTTTTTTCAAAGCAATTTAAACTGCAAATTAATGCCAGTGATGTCGGTATGGGTGGTATCTTAATCCAAGAAGATGATGAAGGTGTCGATAGAGCCATTGGATATTTCTCAAAAAAGTTAAACACTTACCAGAAGAACTATTCTACTATTGAAAAAGAATGCTTGGCAGTGTTATCAGCACTACAACATTTTGACTTTTACCTCAATGTTACTGTTTATCCTGTTCTGATTTATACCGACCATAATCCATTAACTTTCTTTCAAAAGATGACTAACAAAAATCAAAGACTTACAAGATGGAGTCTTCTCCTGCAAGAATATGATATTATTATAAAACACATTAAAGGAAGGAACAATGTTATTGCAGATGCTTTATCTAGAGCATAACTTTCAAAAAAAAAAAAAATTGATATTATGACTTATTTCTTTACAAAAAAAATAGACTGATATTGTCTTATAAAAGTTTTTCATTATAATTTCAAAACTTTTACTTTGAAGAGGGGAAGTGTTATGAGGATGCATTTCTATAGTAAGGGCTTCTACCGAGTCCTACTTGTTAATACAAAAAAGTTTTCATTCATGAAGTAGTTGTAAAATAGAGAAATTAGAAATAGAATGTTTGGAAGATTCTAGATCATTCTAGTATATTCAAGAAAAATCTAGAAATATGTTAATTAGGTGCTAGCCCCTATAAAAATAGGTTTTTGGAAAAGGGTTGTCACTTGGTGAATGGAAATTTCTGCCAGTATCAACTCTGGCTTTTTTGATTCAAGGATTATTATATCCAGCTGAAAGAATCTCTATGAAAAGTTGCCTACCAACAAAAACCCCAAAAGAGAATCCCTTGGAACAAATCTGGTAAATAGAGTTTTGACTATTTTCATTGACCAAACTACCAATTATTCAATATATTCTCACATTTATGGATTTCCAGTTAGCACTTAGATTACTTCGCTAGCCCTAAAGTGGTAATGATACTTGACTCCCCTTCCTTCTCCCTCGTAACGCTTCGCCCGTAAATTCTGTGTTTTCTGTTTTTTGTAAGCCCCAATTGTATATCTTGTATATATTTTATGTTGTATTTTAGAAAATTAAATATTTGTTTGTGATTTAGCTCTGTGTTTTGGTAAATCATTTTTTTTTTCTTTGTTACAATTTTCAACACGTAATAACAGGTAAAATCATTTACAGTCCATTGACTATACGTGAATTCTAAGCTAATCAATCAGGTATACAGTCTCAGAGAGAGATGTCTATCAAAATTAATATTATACTTGTATTTGACTAGGTCTCAAATGCCAACTATTTGTTTTAGAGATAATCTTTGTAACAACATCTTTTCTCTGACACACCTTACAGTATTTAGATAAAATTTTAAAAATGATTAGCTTACGGTCACATCACATTGAAACACCAGTTCTCATATGATCATCAAAGTTAAGCAATATCGAGCAGTACATAGATAGGTGACCGCTTGGGAATACCAGGTTCTGTAAGCTTGGATGTGCAGGTGGTAGATAATGGTTTGGAAGTATTAATCAGAGGGCTGAGTTTCAATTTCAGTTGGGTTTGCTATATTCGCTTACATGCAAATACCCTTGGAAAAGGTATGAATTCACCTCTTCTCCCCCAGCTATGGGTTAATTAGTAAGATTTGTATCATCAAACCATTTTAATTAGTAAGACTTGTATCATTAAACCATTATCTCAGAAAAAAAATTCTTTCAATCTAAAAATATTTTCTGGCTTTTAACTAACCTGCAAATGGTTGATAAGTCATAGATCAAATTGATCAAATAAAAATGATAGTATATTTTGTTAAGTCCTTATTATGAAGTATGTTTTTCCCTAATTAAAATGATAAAAATGGACATGTTAAAACAAGAAGAAAAATTAACAAAAAAGTGGTATCAAAAAATAACGTTACTATAAAGTAATGCTATTTTATCAAAATACAAAAAAGCTGTTGAACCTGTTTATTGATCCTCTCGTCAAAACTGAATCAAGGATGAGAATGGGCACAACAACTAAAATGAACACCTACTTTTCTTTAATCAGTATCACACCATGCAAGGCAGTAAAGCCACTAAGACACAAAGGGTTACAGGGTGTGGAAGAATTAGAAACAGAAACATTAAAAATGAGCAAGAGGAAAGAGTAATCATGAGGACTGGAGATAGTGATTGACATTGTATTTAAATTTTTGCAGATTAAAGTTTGCTGCAAAGCATGGAGCTGGAAGGGAGTTCCACAAGTGAGAATTGTGAGAAAAGAAACTGTTAGCATTAAATTTATGCTTACATCTAGCCAGCTCAACTGTAAATTGATGAGATCTCAATGCCAGTCTTGTACTGCGCTTAAATTCAAAAAGTCTAGGTACCATAGCAAAGAGTTCATCTGAACATTTACCATGAAAACATTCATAGAAAACACAAAGAGAGGCAAGCTTATGGCGATGAGAAAGCAACTGAAGACAAGCCACCAGATCAGGAACAATAATACTGCTGATGAAATGTTATTTTCTTCCCATTATTATTGTTGAACTCTGCTTGAATCAGCCTTTTCAACTTGTGGCTTCATAAATATCTTTGATCACTTCACCATTATTATAACAAAGATACTGCCACCTGGTGTCACCAATACAAAGGAGATAACTGTTTTCCATCAAAAACTTAGGTTTATATATAGACCACATGATGTCAGTTATGTGTTACTTACTAATATTATAGTTACTTATAAAGGTTAGTTTTGGCACAAGAACAGAAATATGAGACACTAAGTGAGGATCAAACTCACTATTCAATAATAATAATAATAATAATCTGCGTGACTGCGAATCCCATGACCCTGATGGTCATGGGGTGCTGCAGCCGCAGTAGAAGTGGTGTTTCTTGGGCAAGATAGCCTGACGGAGTCCAACCCTCTCCAGGCCAGTTTGAATTCAGAGTTACCTTCTCGTAGACTGGTTACCACCCAAGGCTATAGAACCCAGTCTGTCCTACCTACAGTAACCAATGCAAAAATGCATCCCAAGAAAGTCACATTTTTAATATTTGCATTTCAAACATTCTAATTTCATTTTTGTTTCAAAAGTTGGTTTAATCCAATGAATTTATATTCATCACATCTTAAATTTGCACATTGTTTTATTTTTATATATTATCACACTAGTAATTGATGAGTGTTCTCCCTCCCCAACCTTCTCCCTGCAAAATTGCCAGCTAATACATATTCTCTATTAAGTACTTACCTGTCAGTGCTTGGTATGATCACCGTGGAAACCAATCCAGAATTTAGCACAGGTTGAAGAATAGTAAGTACAGAAGTTTATAGATACTGCAAATCATACATATTAAATGACACATACATATATGAAGATCTAATTGGGCAATAAAACAACTGTGACCAATGAAACATTTTCAAATTGGTGTTCTTAGATGTTTTCATTAAAATCATGAATCAGTAATATTTCCACTCATTTTCTATTTTTTTTATACCTAAAGTCAGATAGATATCTGCCATTTATAGATTCATTTTTTCTCTAAAAAAAAAAAAAATAGGGTGACTATTAAAATTTATTTATTGTATTAATTAATATTTTAATTTTTCCTTAATGTTTCTTGAATGTTTTCTGTACAAATAATGTATTAACTAAGTAATCTATGTCACTGATGTAAAACAATTCTTCTGTTTTAATGAACAATTCCTTTTTTTATGCCTTACTTTTAGTTAAGGCTAAATATCTTTTAATTAAAAGAAATATCAATTTTAGGGTGCATAAAAATATTTTAATTTTTTTGCAAACCATTGCTTGAAAGCTTCTTTCATATACACGTCTAGAGACTATGACTATAAATTTTATGTTCTTATCGTATAGTCAAAGGAAATTTTGTTCTTGAGAAATGGTGTCAACAAGATTCCTCACAAGAACTTAAAAAAAAATCTTTCAACCAAAGTTAAATGAAATATCAATGTCATAAACAAATTTCAGTTTTTGAAAAATTTATTTTTAGTTGACTATTTTTTTATACATATACATAAACAAGATAGTAACATGTGGGTATATTGAATTTTGATATATTGTATACTGTTTTGGTTGGTGGTATCTTTATCAGAAGTATATTTAAAAAAATAAATATGTTCAATTTTTGAGGTATTTAAGAAGCTCATATCATCAAGCCAATAAATTTGAGAAGACAATGGACACCAATTGATATAAATTAAAATAATTGAAAATGATAGACAAGGAATTAATTGAAATAGTTTTATTCACAACTAATAAAAGTTTATAGTAAAGTTGTACTAGAGATGAAAAATGTATCTTTTACAGTTTAAGTGACTTGTAAACAGTAGGTATTATATTTTTATATTACTTATAAAAAAAATTTGCCATCTCCATTGTAACGGTAATATTTGCCATTTCTATCATAAAAGTAATAATATTAGCTGTTTCCTTTATAAGAAAATATTTAGCATTCATTGATCAAGAAGTCAGTGCTGGTTTTGGTTGAAATTTATAAAATCTTTCTCTGAAAACAATTTTTCAGGAAAATAGGTATTTAAAGTCCATTAGCTGTTATTGTTCTTTTCAGTATTGAAGAGGACTTTCTTCCTTGCTTTTTTTTTTGGGGGTGGTTTAGTGTGGAACATCAGAATCTTAATTTGGTCATTATTTTTACTTTGAGTTACATGTGCTATCCATTTTAGTTGTTGCTGTTGTTGAAAGTCCTCAAGGTTTCTGTTGTTTGGTACATTTCTTTGTTTGTAATTCTGTAATGCTAATCCACAAGGTTCGAAGAAGGATGTTTCCTCAGTGCGATCTACACACTTCACTCACTCAAAGCGTTTTCTAACCATAAAGTAATTACAACTTAAAACTAACTTCTGTAGATAACAAGATAAAGTGATTTCATCAAACCAACATCATCATCTTTTATTTCCTAACAATATTCTGATTAATACAAAGTTTTTATTTCATCACTTATCTGCTATATTAATTTTTATGACATTTTTAATCTTTTACCCAGAGGAATACAATATTTTCAGTTCTTGTTTGTCTATAAATTTAAATATCAGTAAAGCAATTTCAGGCAGTCATTAATGAAAAGAACTTGCATGGTTGCCTGGCATTGCCTGGAATGCAGGTTCTATTTGTATTCTCTCATGTACAGGAATTCCTCTATTAATGCATATTTGATTAATGTGTTTTTGATTAGTGCACTAAAATTTACTATACCAAAATTCAATTAGTGTATGCATAATACTCAATTAGTTCAGTAAAACATTCTCCAGTTTAAACATAGTAATTGAAAATTGATTTTTTTATAGTTTCTAAAATTTAAAAATGGAAAATGGTTAACTATTTTATTTGTCAAGTATTACGTTATCTAAATAATTATAGTAGTGTTAAAAAAAAAAATGGACGGTTATATAAATAGATAGATTTTATAATATAAGCTGATAATAAAAATACATATTTGAATATTTGAGAAGTAAGGAGGTACAAATGAAAAGATTTGAAATTGACAACTTTTTTCCATTTCACAGAAACAACCATTAAACACATCTATCTTCTCTTTCTTCCATTCTCATTGAAACCAAATAATATCTCCGTTTTCTATCTACCCCCTCCCAATCAAAACTGAATGGTCATTATTTATGAGGTATTAGCAGAGCATAAAATTTGTGCTAACAGAGAGACAATTATAAATAAGATATTATATTACATTATATTCATTATTCAGTTATGGTAGATATGTAACACTACATTCATTTTTAACATGTGACTTTTTGTTTTGAGTTAAATGCTCTTTCTATAAATTGACTGAATGTTATATTTTTGGTAAATTCTGCAGTCATCTAAATTTCTCTTTTTTGTTTCTATTTTTTGTTCATTTATGTTATTTGGTGCTGTAATATGAATAGTTAAAACTTATTCACTACATTGCCCAGTGTGATATCAAGTTATGCTGTAAATATATTGATTAGTTTGTAATGAGAAACCAAACACTGCATTTATTTAATGGAAAAAATAATGCTTCTCTTTTACTCTCTATGCTAGAATATACTTTTTTTCTCTCTCATTCATATGCACATTTTATTGGAGTTAAATCAGGTTTCAAAATTACTGACATTGTCATCCTCTTTGTCTTTCATATATCTTTAATTTCAAATTATAACTTTTTCTTTGTTTTTTTTTTTTTTTTTTTTTTTTTTTTGTAAATCATTTGGGATAATTATATATTTCCCTAACACCACCAGTGGTTGGTCTTTGAACCCAAACAAAAGATGAAATCTTGAATGCAGATTATTTAACCAATTTTCACCTAATTTGAAAAAGCTAACCAATGCCAGATTTACACATGGGCTGCAGCTAAAAACAAAAAGTAAAAATATAAGAACAAAGGAGATTTTTTATTTCATTTTAGCTGGAGTTTTTCATGATTTTTTTACACCAAAAAAGCATCATCTAAAAATATCTTTCTTTTTTTTTTTAT